GCCCCCAGCCATGGGTGCTTAGATGGGGGGCGCACATTAAGCAGGCGTAATGGATGTTCTGCAGAGACAGCGCACTTGAGTAATAGGTACGGTTTGCTTGCGTGAATAGGCCACAGTTTACTCGCAGTTAGGCTGCACCATGGTTGCGCCTTGTGAGCGATAACCAAGTAAATATTGGAGCTTGCCTGCTGTGGCAGTACCATACTCCAATATGCCAACAAACCAACAATGCCAGATTCTACAACTGGTACTGGAGATACAACGGAAATGTATATTTACTCCTCAGTGCCATACCATACCACTGTATTTCAAAGACTTTGCTTCACCACATAGAAAAATACACAAGTTCACACATCCACACATGTTCTGAGTTTTCATCTCACTTAGCATCCTTCGCATCTCAAGGTGTCTTGGTATGTGGAGCTTTCCAGGGTTGAACTCAGTCCTTCAGACAATACGAGTATCTATTTATACGGCTGCAGAGTAGCAGGGTCAGACTGCAACCTGGTGTAAATCACAGTAGCTTAACTGATCTATGCTTGGTATTTCTCTACTCAGTGTTTTACCCTTTTTTCTTCTTAGCTGAGTAAACCCCTTGCTGGCCCCAGTGGGCTTTACTGCTACTGCCATTTCATTTAATCCAGGAGGCATTAATTTTACTGTTTTTAGAGCATTTTGCGGATAAGCTGTACATTCACTCAAATTTCTAAATGATATTCTAAAATCATCTGTGCATTCATCCCAAGCATAATGTGCCCTTTTCTGCCTGGGCACAGGAGTTCATTACAAATGGAAAGTAAATGAGAAGCTAAAATTGCAACTTGCTAACTTCAATATGGGAAATCCTGAAAGTATAAATTATCAGACGTTAAAGGGTCTTGAAAAGAAGAACAAATCTGAAATAGTTAATGTTAATGGGGAGACTAACACAATAAAAATGATAAAAAACCCTGGGCAATTTGTGAGTAACAAGTGTAGTGCCTGAAAAAAGGGAAAAAAATCCATAGGGCAGCCAGATGAGAATGCTGAATAGAAAGCTTCTAAAGATTTAATCACAAATGGTCAGGAAAAAAAGTGACAGCTCCCTGAATGACAGTCATTCAACATTCACCTCAGAGAAATAATTTTAAATATGTAAAAATCATTTTTTTAAGGTAAAATAATATCTTTTGGGAAATCCAGGCTCTAGTTGCAGAGCTCTAGTTGCACGGTACTTATTCTGTTATACAGCTGCATTTCATCTTACAAATCTTAAGATGGATTCAAAGACCAAGTCAAAACTGAAATAAAGTCGATGGTCTCAGCCTGAATTGTGTGGTGGCTCTGAAAGAAGCACAGAGCATTACTTGAATAAATTGATAAACTCGGCATGGTCAACAGAGCCCGGAGAAATAAAGATACATGTAACAGCCTTTCCAATGTTACTGTTTAATATTAGTCTGTTCTCATCTTCTTCAGGTTAGTCTTGACTCCCGGGTGAGAGAAGTGATCAACAGAAACCTGTTGGATCCCAGCCCTCACATGTATGAAGATGCCCAACTCCAGATATACACCCTAATGCACAGAGACTCTTTTCCAAGGTTTTTGAACTCTCAGATTTATAAGTCTCTTGTTGAAAGTATTACAGGCTCTACTTCTGAAACTTAGTTTTAATTTTCAAACAAAATAACTTGATTTTTTGGGGGTGGGTGGGATGGAAGAAAAGTAGTTTAATAACATCTGGAGCTGGGTTCCTGGAGAACTACAGTTTAGCACTACTCAGGCTACTGTGAAGAAAACAAATACATATTATGGTCTCTGTCTACATTTTTACCAAGGTCCTCCTTGCTCGAGAGGGCGTGGGAGGGGAACAATGGATTTGCCAAAATACATTTGTTTCACACTCCTATCACCCTACTGCAGTCAAGATTGCAATGATGTATTTGTAGTTTTATGAACAGTCTCCTTGTGTATCCTCACACTGCATGTGCAAGGTAAAACTGCTTCACTTACCACTTAGTTGTTGCAATATTTAATCCAATAACATAAATTATATCTGTATTTAAGAACTTTTTTTGTGCAATACAGTCTTATGGTACATAGAACCAATTGCAGCAAACCAGAGAGAGGCTTGCATTTTTTAACATCACTAACTGAAAAAAGCCAATTTTTAAGGTGTAGCATTACTCAACATGCTCTACTGAGTACAATACACTGACTTTTTGAAGCCAATATTTCTGTACAGAAAAAAAAAGAGCTACTTATCACTGTTTATTTAAAATAAACCAAGCGGAGGATTCCTCTGGTTGTTCACTGCCAAAACGGTGGCATTTTCATTACAGAGTTTGCAATGTCAAAAAAAGAAAAAAAAAAAAAAGAAGAAAAAAAAAGCACAAACCACTTAAAGGGATCCGTATCTGGGTGACACAATCTATGCGCTGATATTGTTTAATTGTTAAAAGAACAAAGATTTTCAATGTACATTTCAGATGTCAGATACTGTAATTGATTTATTAAAGACTGGCTATCCAGTTCTAACACTGTTGTATAATGTTATGTACTTCAGCAAAAAAAAAAAAAAGAAAAACAAAAACAAAAAAACAAAAAGCTTGATAATTTAGTTTTTTGAATAAAGAAATTTAATAAAAGATTGCCTACATGTAGCATTTTAGAGCATTTTAGAACATTTTGATGAATTGCATCTGTCCTGTAAGATTATTTTTTTTGAAAGCTAAATCCAGTAAAAAATGTTTTTAAACAAAGTGATGTTTTACGAGGTGGTGGGTTAAAGAAGACTTATCTTAGCTTCTAGCTAGCCGCATTGATTTTGAGCAACTCCTTGAGAACAAGGGGTTTGGAGAGTAATATTAAACCAAACTTCAAGGGCTCCAAAACCTACAGTCCTTACCCAAGCAAAATGCCTACAGAAATGCAGCGGGTGTCTTTCCTGGGTAAAGAATCCTGTACTGAGCCCTTATTCTGAGCTAAGGCAGCGTGGTACTCCCATCGCTCGGCTGCCCTGGTGTTTTTAATAGGTGTTTGCTTGGCCTTTTTATCAAAAAATGTCCAATTTTAGGATGCATTTTGATGTTTAAAGAGATAGTGACTTGGAATTTAAAAAAAAAAAAAATCTTCATACCTACCATATACAAGCAAAATGAGCATTAGCATCCCTCACAAACTGCTAAAGATATACCAAGAAATGGCTTTGAATACTTGTTAAATATATATATATATATATATGTATGTATGTGTGTATATATATATTTAATACCAATGACTCTGGTCTTATACTAAGACTCAAGAGGCAAGGTTCTTCTCACTTACATAGGACTAAACATGGCACGAGCCCGTTGCTTTCGATGGGACTGGAAGGTCTGGCAGTGGTGTCCTTGAATGGAATCCAGCCCCAACACGCTTGGCTCCAACCTCCCAGTTACTCCTTGCAGGCAGCCTCCGGTGCCGGCTCCGGCTGGAGCTGCTGTTGCCAAGGCGGGTCTGCTGCTATACAGTAACGGGTAGGATGGAGGTCTTAGTTTATCTTCTGGGGCTTCTTTTTTTTTCCCTTTGTTTTACTACCTCTCATTTTTTTAATTTATTGAACATGCTTCAAATAGCAAGTCTTGGGAATTTTTTATTCATTCTTTTTACTTGAAACCTGTGTGCTTTTTTTGGATATATATATACGAACAATTTAACGAACTGTTTCTTAAACTCATTTGGTTTTGTAATTTCTATAGAATTCAGGAGATGATTAAAAGGGCTATTCTCTATTCCCTATGCAAGTATTTTAACTGTTGTAGTGTTTGACAAAATGGGATCTAAAAGAAAAATCTGCAAAGTGGAAAACAAATCTGTTTACAGTGGCGTTGCTGACTATCCTACCATATTCAGCACTTTTAAATATTGTTATTTATGAAAATGTAGTTTAAAATGCAAGACAAAATATTTATAAATGTTTCTTTTAATAAATACCTGTTTTGTCTGAAAGTGTTATTGTGTTATGACAACTTTATTCATGTTGGTTAGCTACTTACCATTATGAATAAAACCTTCAATTATTATACTGATAGAATAATAGCTATGATGTTTACAAACCCTGAGGGGGGGGGAATTCAGTGAGAAAGGACTGCCTCCTTCTACTGTGAAATACTGTTAGAAAAAATGATTTTTTTCTGGCTTTTTTTCTTAATTGGAATTTACCTATGGTCCTACATATGTCTAGTATCATTTGATTACAGTTATCTTTACTGTGGTACTAAACATATACAGCATCATATATGTATATATTTACATAGTGTAATTTCAAGTTTGTTGGTGTTTGAGGCACAATACATTTAGTCCATGCATCTAGACAATGTGTAAGAGACAAAACTGCATGCGTAAATCTTTACAAATGTAGACTTGAATATTCTTAATGTTACTCTTTGATGGTGACCTGCTAGTCATAAGCCATCACACAGGTAGAAGCTCTTGTCAACATAGACAACTCATCCTTCCAAGGACAGTTTTAAAGCTCAATGTGCGGGCCCTAAAATATTACCTTGATTTCTAGCATAAGATTCCAAAATCTGTGTTTGGAAACTGTTACATCATTTTGAAAAATATTACACCGATCTCCAGTGTAATACTGCAATGAAATCACGTTCAAAATTTCTTGTCTTAAATCCTCTATTTGGAGGGATTTAAAAATTGAACATAACATGTGAAGTTTCTTTCTTGGAGCATATGCTCCTATTAAAAATTTTAATATACATTTTATCTATCAGTTGGGGTTTCCCAAATTTTTTTTTATGAAAAAATGGATATGGTCCAAATGGACAACAAGTCATGCCGTAACATGATCTCATTGCCTATCATACAGTTCTTTGAACACAAATTGTAAAACAGTCAAGCTATTAAACTGATTTATTGTGCATGCAGCGTACAATACACTTTGAAAATCTGCCTAGATACACTTATTCTATAGCCTGGAATAAAATAAGTATGTATTTAACTTGTATTTCAGTTTTTCATGAGAATGTGTATAGCAAGTGCATGACAGAAAGTGAGTTATGTTTTTGTCAATTTGCCCAGTATTTAATCTTTTCTGTCAAACAAAGCCTAATGCCAAATAGCCACAAATAAGCAGAGCACGTGTGTACACTCCTGACCTTTAGGTTTCAAAGAAACCGAATATAGATTGTATTATGCCTGTGTTCAACTTAGCTGTTGACAGTCAATTTTCACATACCTGAGCTGAAAGTAGCTTGGGATACCCAGAATAAAGCAAAACCTGCAGATAAGTGTCGAGAGTATTAGACTGTGGGCACATATGGTATGAAGGAGATGAGAGGTATGATGGAGAAAAGGCAGGTCAGTGACACAGGTGGCTGGGCTGCACAGTAACCAGCTGAGTCCAGGCAGGTACCGTGGAAATGTGGCCATAGGACTTCCAGGTCCACAGCCCATCCACAGCTCGCTCGAGTGCCTGTGGAGTCCACATAATCCATTCACAGGACAACAGAGAGGGGACACAAAGCAGACTTAAGCTAGTAGTAGCTCTGTTTTAAATGAAAAGCATGCTGCAGTGTCTGCTAGGCTGCGGTCTAAACCAAGCAAATAGAGGAGACCTACCCTCTGCCTTAAACAGCCAGGGTTTAAGCTGTCACCTGATGCCAAACTTGCTCCCCTGGGCAGCAAATTCCATCACGAGGAGCATCTGCCTGTGGAACCAGTATCTAAAAAAGGTGGGGGGGCTATTTTGGTGAGAGCAGCTTGCTGGACTGACCACGCCGTGAGCCCTCTCAGGAACCAGCAGCTTCTGTACGCAGTAAGTGCTTGCGAAAGCCATTTAGCATAAGCATTTCACAACGCCAACAAAAAAGCAATCAAAGCTGAGACGAGAAAGTCTCCTAACTTCAGTGACTCTCTACACCACAAGGAGTAACACTCACACCTCTGCAATGTCTGTGAGCCTGCTCCCGGCAGCGTTAACCCAGCCAACAACAGCCCGAGTCCTTACCAAACCCAACAAAGCAAAACACTAAGGTTGCAATGTCTGCTCCAAGTTGATTTGAAGCACGTCTACCTACCAACTTCAAAATAGGGTTTTTCTCAGCTCATAATGCTATTATTTTTAGAGAGACCCAAGAGTAGCACTGTAGCACATCCTGGGACATGGCTGCAAGTGACAAAGGTCCAGTCCTGTTCACCAATAACCTGAGTACGTTTGCAGTGACAAAACATCAGCCCCATTCACATAGGTCCTGAATACTTCTGCCAGCAGTAGAAGTGACATTTGTGGGATGAAAGAGCGAGCAATAATGGTGCCAAAATCAGCTGGAAAAAAAAAACCCAACTGACATAAATATTGTCTGCGTATAACTTCATAGCAAAGGCCAGATTTTGCCCCTTCCTTGATCCATAAACTCACGCTGTGGAAATCCATCCTTCCAATTTAAAACAGGGATACAATTCAGCTGATCCAAAGGCTGACCATCAGTCACTGACTCACACTACCTTTTTTTCTTCTCAAAAGCTTTACATTCAATCACCCCTTACTCTTCATTTCCTGAGTTCTGCACGCTTCTCTCGCAAGCAGGGGTCACACAGCCATTAAAACCCTCATAATTTCTTTCATTGTTACAGAACGCCGAAATATTTGGTCTGTTAAATGCATAAATTTGAGCATTTTTCCTTTACCCTTCTGAAAGGAGGCTTCGGGAAGCTTCATGGGCAGGCATCAGCAAGCGCAAGGGAAGCCTTTGGTGGGTGAGATTTCACAAGCGACGGCCTGGGCTGTTTTCCAGCGCCAGATTAGCCACACAGGCGGTACATTCTCCACAAAGCTCTTGGAGTGTAATTTTACTTATAAATTATTACCGCAGTGTATTTTGCCAATAAACTTTATTCAAAGCAGTGCATTTACAATCACAGGAAAACGTTTTTATCCAACCGTTCATTTTGATGTTTAATATTCCGAGTAACAAATTTTCAGGCTGACCGTATGACCTTTGGATTTCCGCAATGGAAGAAAACCTCCAAGTTTTCATTTCTGACTAGCAAAACTACTTAAGTGTGCAAGCATTGCTCTTGCTTTGGGTATTACATTTGTGAAAATAACAAATTATTAATGTATCATATGGAAGTTACTGTTACTCCACCAGTGTAATTTAGTTGTAGGGTATGACTACTTAGTTCTGTTAAGACACAAACAAGGACAGAAGAACAGCAAAGACCCGACTTTGACTCCTCCGATGATTGTAAGATAAAATACTGCCTAACAAATTTTTATGGATAGCTTGCACATTTTTATAATAAAGTATATTCTTCGAACTGTTTTGAGTTTAGCCAAGAATCTCATTAATGATGTTAACTAAAACAGGGTTACTATGCCACCCTGTCTGCACAGCAGAGGGGATTTGCCAAGATCATCCCCCAACATCCATCACATCACATTTACTGAAACGACTGCATCTTCGCCGCCTTCCAGTTTAAAACTTTGACGTAAGACACTGTACTCAGATCTGCATCTTGTACACGGGTGGTCTTTCCGTCTCACCACGCATCTCTGACGCAAAGGCTCTTTCAATCGCCCTTTTTTCTTCCTCTGACAAGGCTTTTTTTTTTTTTTTTTTCCTCTCTAAATGCTGAATTTTGCACCTGCTTTTGCCGTGGAGGGATCCTGCCACACGCACTTGCAGCTTCCCCTCCTCCTTAGGGTATTTTCATTCCCAAATTTTTTTTCTGGAGCGAGAAGAAAAAGACCTGCAAGAGCAACCTGGGTAGCCAAACGAGGAACCTGGGTAGCCAAAGCCCCCACCCGAAACTTCCCGCGTCCCCTCCCGCACAGGCAGCCCCTGGAGGACACTGAACCGCCCCAGTGAAAGCCTCAGCAACCCGCGCGGGCTCCTACCCCAGAGCCCTGCTTTAAGCTTGTGGTGTGGAGGGTTTGGCGAGGTTTGTAGCCCGCCTTCTTTTTATTTTTTTCTGTCAG